GGGGGAGCTGTGGGCGGAGCTACGAGACACTTACAGACAAACACGAGCCTCCAAACTCACCTTGATGGAGTCGACCAGGTCCTCGACCAGGAACACGCGTCTCAGGTCACCGATGGTCTTGTTGAGCTTGGCCAGAACAATGTCGCTGTACTTGTGGACCATGTCTTCAGACAGCGCCACCTCCTGGTCCAGGTACTGCCTGCAGGGCGCAGCAGAGCAGGTCAACAAAGATGTGCTGCAGTTCCTCTAGCGTCCAGCAGAGGCAGCAGTGAGTCAGTGTTCCCCTTCATATGAAACATTTCTGACTCACGCGTTTAAACTTTATTGATGCTGAACGTTTGCATTATTAGGGGCGTGGCTTGTCGACATTTTAACCACTTTAGCGCCACTTAAGACATTTACAATATATTTTTCTTCTATAGCGATGATTCGTTTGAATTTTTATAGAAAAATATAAAATCAAGTTCAACTTCAAAACCAGTGAAACCAGTAAAACCAGTCTTTGTATCAACAAAACCGTCACGCTCTCAGGTCGTATGAATGGTGGACGCTCGAGCTCGCTGCTCAAGAACAAACTGATGAAGTCAGTCAGGCTGTTTTCGTCTCCCTGACGACGCGTCGATGGAGCCTCCAGTTCAACGTCTGATGGGAGAGGCGGCACCAGTATAAACACTGGACACTGTGCGCATGTTGGACAACTGCAGCAGCAGAAACCAAATGTGTGTAACAGGAAGTGACCGTTGGCGGCTGATCCACATTGTGCATGGTTACGTTTCCACGGTTACTCCATCACTTCTCTGCCTTCACACAACTTTGCAAAGTTCACAGCTTTGACGGTTAAAACTCCAACGTTTGTTTTTAATCTAATAAATAAAGCGTGAACGACGCAAACTGTAAAATCTAGAACGTCGTGTTTTCAGGTACGAACACGTCTGTGAATGTTCAGTGAAGCTGAGCAGACGGAGCGCTCGCTGCACGATCACGTCTCAGTGAAAACAAAGAAATCTGCAGGAAGTCAGACATAGGTCGTGTCCAAATTCATGGGCTGC